GAACACTGGGAATGGGAACACTGGGAACACTGGGAATGGGAACACTGGGAATGGGAACACTGGAACACTGGGAACACTGGGAATGGGAACACTGGGAGCACTGGGAATGGGAACACTGGGAACACTGGGAACACTGGAACACTGGGAACACAACCCCAGACCCGCCCTGGCCGCATCAGGAGAAATTCCCACAGGATTTTCCATGGGATTTTCCCGGAATTCCAGACCCACCCTGCCCCAAGGCCGGGGCCTTTCCCAGGGCAGCATTCCCAGTTTTTCCCGGAATCCCAGACCCTCCCTGCCCCGAGGCCGGGGCCATTCCCAGGGCAGCATTCCCAGGTTTTTTCCCAGTTTTTCCCTGGAATCCCAGACCCACCCTGCCCGAGGCCGGGGCCATTCCCAGGGCAGCATTCCCAGTTTTTTTCCCAGTTTTTTTCCCGGAATCCCAGACCCACCCTGCCCCGAGGCCGGGGCCATTCCCGGGGCAGCATTCCCAGTTTTTTTCCCCAATCCCAGACCCTCCCTGCCCCGAGGCCGGGGCCATTCCCAGGGGATTTTCCCAGTTTTTTTTCCCAGTTTTTTTCCCCAATCCCAGACCCACCCTGCCCCGAGGCCGGGGCCATTCCCAGGGCAGCATTCCCAGTTTTTTTCCCGGAATCCCAGACCCACCCTGCCCCGAGGCTGGGGCCAATTCCAGGCCAGCATTCCCAGGTTTTTTCCCACCCACCCTGGCCGAAGGCTCCGATGCTGCCCCTCAGCGCCTCGAGGTCGCAGCCGAAGCGCCCGGCCCGGCCCAGCTCCTCGTCGAACTTGCGCTCGCTGACAAAGTGCTGGGAACAGCCGGAACATCGGGAATTCCCAACGGGAATGGGAACAACAGGAACAATGGGAACGGGAACAACGGGAATGCCGTGGGAACGGGAACAACCGGAACAACGGGAATGCCGTGGAAACGGGAACAACCGGAAAAACGGGAATGCCGTGGGAATGGGAACAGCCGGAACAACGGGAATGCCGTGGGAACGGGAACATCGGGAATGCCGTGGGAACGGGAACAACGGGAACAACGGGAATGCCGTGGGAATGGGAACAACGGGAATTCCCACCGGGAACGGGAACAACGGGAATTCCCAACGGGAATGGGGCAGGGAACAACGGGAA